ATAACTCGTACGGGTTCATGAACTCAGACACGTGCTCAAAAAGACTTTTGTCGATGTATTTCTCGATCATGGCAACCGCCTTTCGATTCAGAATTTCCCATTCCTTCGCATTCTTTTCTTCAGGCATCTCGGCCTAAACAATGGGCTCTTATAAATCTTTGCTGTAAAGATGGTCTTCCATCATATGACTCCAATAAGTGAAATTGTCAGTAGTCAATTTAAACATGTCACCGTCATGGGCAACATCACTGGTCTCCATCTCGTCTCCTCAAAACCCTTCGAACTCGGGCTCTGATACCACTGTTGGGACAATTCAGTCCCTGACACTCAACGTGAAAGTGTTTACAAATCAGAGCTCAGAGCTCGGCAATCAGAGGAGGTCGGCCTAGTCACCAGGTCGGCCTTGCGCAACGGAAATGAAAAATGTAAAGGAGAGAGATAGAGAAGTACACAATCAAATTTTAACGTGGAAAATCTTCCCCAATGTGGAGAAATAAAACCACAGTACACTAGTTCATAAAATCTTTCACTATGTCAAAGAAAGATTACAAGAGTCAAGCTTCCATAGTCTTTCACTAGAGGTAAATTCAAATTTCACCAACAATCTAACCAAAATACAAATGATATTATGGGGTTTATGTAAAGGAGAGGGGAACTCTCCATATTCTTCCAGAATCTTCCGCAATGATGAGGTGGTTGGGCAGCCTTGAGCTCCGCACCACATTTAATAAGATGCACTCCATCATTAATGGAGGAACACCACCCAACATTACACGGATCAATTTCGGGTTCACAGGTTGACACGTGATACAATAATAATTTTTCAGGTCAATTTTTGCCAACATAACCGCAACACGAATTTAAAAATGGATTGATCCGAAAAAACAATTTTTCATATCGTATTAGCGGTTTGTTTTAAAATGTGTTACCCAACTTAAAGACATATGTAGTTATTACGAGAAAAATGTTTATAAGTTTCATATGCATATTTAAAAAATCAATTTGATAATTGTAATAACTAGTTGCAGTTTTATATTTTTGGCATTTATTTTTAAATGAGTTATTAATAACGATAACTTATAAGGAGGAAATAAGTGATAAGTTTGAATTTAATAATTGAAAGTTCTCGAAAGTATTTGGGAAAAGGAAACAATATCAAGATGTCCATTATATGATTGTATAATGAAAGGATGCTCATTCCATTTCATCAAAGCTTATATCAATTACCATATAGTATTCGTGTCATTTCCTGAAAATGGCAAAGATTGTTTTTTTCACCAAAATTATTGGCACTGTAATTAGCATTGTCACAACTCTATAATTTCATCTTTTTCATAAGTATATTTTAAATTTTAAATTAACAATAGTAGTAAATATATTTTTACATTTATCTTTAAATGAGTAATTAATAACGAATAGGAATTGAGTTAAGTGATAAATAAGTTGGATTTTTTTTTTTTTTTTGGTATCCTATAACTAAGTTGGAATTTAGTAATTAAGAACTATGAAACTACTTGCGAAAAGGGAATAACCTCAGCACCTCAAGTAATAATTAGTTTCACTTAAATGATGTAAAAAAAAAATGAAAGTAGAAAACCACCATTATGTAATAGCATAAATTATAGAATGTTCATTCTATTTCATCAAAGTTGATTTCAATAACCTTTATATGTTCCATGTCATTTTTTGAAAATGACAAAAATGATCTTTTACCAACATTATTGGCACTGAAATTAGCATTGTCACCACTCTATTACTGCTACTACTTTCACAAATAACAATGACGAGCTGTTATTGTAATGATCATTTTAAGGTGCCTTATTTTTATTTTTATTTTATATTCCAATTAATTGATCATTTTGTGAATAGTCTGATTCGGAGTAGGTCTGAGAATTAAAGTTTTGAACTCATCTCAAAGACGGTACTGAAGAAGATCAGACACATGCTCTCACCTCTACTACTCAATTTCCCGACAACAACTGAGCTACCATCATTTAATATTATTTTAACATTCCTTTGTTACTGCAAAAACTATCACTAGTGTTATCACTATCTCACCACCATTATCATTTTCTCCAACGGTTGTTTTGCTATTAAAAAAATTACTTTGAGTTATTTCTATGTAATTTGGTGTATGAAATATGAAGAAATTAAGTTCACACAAAAAAGAAGAAAGAAAGTTTTTTTTTTTTTTTGGTATCCTGAAAGAAAGTTGATTTTATTATTGACTATACATCAATCATATAACATCATTTTTTTACCAAAAAAAAGAAAGAATAAAATCATTCTAGTATTCAAATCAGATTATGGAAAATGCGTAACTCAAATTCTATAATACACGTTAAAAAAATATGAATTTCATTTGCTAAGCAATATTTGCAGAAATCCTTCGCATACATATAAAACATACAAACATGAACATGGAGGAAAAAGATAGAGTAAACGGTTTAGTTTTTTTTTTTTTTTTTTTTTTTAATGAAGAAAGAAATCTTTTCCACATTTATTGTGTTAAACTTTGGTGAGAAAGATGATTGTTACACCTACATAGAAGGTCATTTTCCTCGGTTTACACAGTTGCTTTTCATTGACCGGAGAATTATATCTGTCCCAACTGATATATAAAAAATAAATATATTAATTATCCAATTCGTTAGTATCTAAAAGAAACAAGAGAAAAAAAGGTTAACATTTCAATATATGTTGAACAAAATATGCTTTACGTAAAAAGAAAAAAATGTAAGCATGCTTTACAACAAAATAGATCAATTTTATCCTTACAATCACTAACCTTATATTTTTACATGTATCTCATATCGAATTAAGTTATAACGAGAAAATTTAAACTTAGTAATTGAGAGAAATTCATAGAAATTCAAATCAATTAAAAAAAAATATTTATAGAAAAAGATAAATTTAGTCAATTAAATGAGAATAAATCTTCCCTGCCAATAATTATTGGTTTTACAAGAAAATTGTTCCGACTCATAAAAATGGGAAAACTAATTATGTTTCCGATGGAAAGTGGTTAGGAAATCAAAATTTTACTCCAAAATGTACGGGAAAGTCTCATAATACTCAAAAAACAAAAAATAAATAAATAACAACAAAAAACAAAATAAAACAAAAAAATATCTATATTTTCAACCGTAATCGACAACATTCACGTTGAATAACTTCTTTCAATTTTTTTAAACGAAACAAGCCGATAAATTCTGAATTACTGTCACAAAATCATACCGACTGTTGAAACATTTAACACGAAATTTGGATACAATGTAATGGCTGAGGTACATCGGTAATAAGCAAATTAATTATCTCGCATGTAACTGTGTAAAAAAATTGAAACGAGACTAATTCTAATTATATTATTAAAAATATAGCTTTAGTGTTTCTACCGTGAATGTAAATAAGTTATCTACACTTGCTCCCAAAATGACGTCGTTTTGGATTGAAAAATTAAAAAACTATAATGAAAAAGACTATTACAACCCTGAAATAAATTCTAATTACAAAAATACCTTGATTTCCACGCCAAAACAATGTCGTTTTGGACACAATGTAGATAAGCAATCTACATTGACCATAAAAAAAACGAACCCAAAAACTATAATGAGTTATGTTTATACAAGTATCATACTTGAAGTATGTACAGATAGTATTATGCATTTAAATAAAGAATTTCCTTACATTATTATTATTATTATTATTATTATTATTATTATTATTATTATTATTTTATATTTACTTTTTTCATTTTTTTTTTTTGGAAACTGATCTTAATTACCTCTTTGAGGCGAATCAGAACCCCCGGTATCCCTACTGATTCGACTCTTTGAGCCGCCTATGGGACTAATCCAGAGTTCAAGTGCGGGTCCAAGGATTACGGTACTTATGCCTCTCCCCAGACGGTGTTGGTGGGATTTGAACTGAGGTCCTCTCCCACCACTCAGTCCCCATGCTACCAAGTGAGCCACCACATTTGGGTTTTTTCATATTTATTTTAGTTATTTTTGTCTACACCATTAGATCACAATCTCAATCAGCAATGAAGATGATATGAGAGAGAGAGAGAGTTGGTTAAGATTGTATCAAGCGGTTTGGAAAGAAGTAAGTAAAGTAAAAAAAAAAAGGAAAAAAGTTTCTGATATTACTTTAGATAACTTTATCTAATGTTCATCGAAACAACGTCGTTTTGAGGTTGAAAAATTAAAAAATTGGAGTGATAAAGATTATTATAACCCTGAAATAAATTAAAATTACAAAAATACTATGATTTCCGTCCCAAAACGACATCGTTTTGATGAATATTAGATAAAGTTATCTAAAGTAACATCAGAAAAAAAAAAAAAAAAAAAAAACGATATAATTTTATTTCGTACACGTACACAGAAATAAATGGGTAAAAATGAAGTCTATCAACTTTTATGTCAATATGGAGGACAAATATTATACCCATATTATTATTATTATTATTTTTATAAAAAAACATGAAAACCTCCCTATGTTCTTTGTACAATGAAAAACCAAGGATATTAAAAAAGAAAAGAAAAAAAAAGGACAACGCAATGCTGGATCTCTCTGAGGAGATTGCAGTCAGATTTTTTGAGTTAAGTCAGTACTTGGTCACCCCCACCTCACATCTGATGTTATGTAAGACATTTTGAGGACCCACATCAGTAATTTTCAAAGCCATGGTTGCTTTGTTTCCCCTCCCAAAGAAAATGCAGCAAAAATGGGAACTTGAAGAGTAGTATTCATTTGGGTGTCTCCTCATTGACTGTGTTGAAAGCCAAACACAAAAATTCCAAAAAGGTTACACATATCCACCTTCCACACAAACTCTCCCTTAACCCATCTTTATCAAAGATCCCTTCATATTATAAGACTTCATGTAACTTTCACATCCCTTCTTAGTTATAGGATCATTTGCACCACCATCTTCATCCAAACCACCTTTGTTCCCTAAAGATTTTGAGTAGTCTTCAGTGATCTGTGTCCCAATGGAACAGGATCAATGTTGGATGCAGACAAAGAGGAAGTACTCTGTGGGTTCTAGTCTTAATTTGCCAACTAACCTTTCCTATGGTGACTCATGGGAAGAACAAGCTTTTGCAGAAGATGCAGCTGGGTCTCTTGGTGGTTGCATATGGCCACCAAGATCATATTCTTGCAGCTTTTGCAGAAGAGAATTCAGGTCAGCACAAGCACTAGGTGGCCATATGAATGTTCATAGAAGAGATAGAGCAAGATTAAAACAACCCTCTAGTCCCAAGAATAATGAAATTCTATATCATGACCTTGAAACTAATCACCACCACAAGCCAGTTCCAAATCCTTTTGCATCTTTGGGTTATCTATACCCTTCTCCTCCTGTTTGTGGATTGGATTATAAAACTAACCCTAATTCTGATCCTGATTTTCTTGCTTCAACTTCATCACCCTCACCTTCCAAGGCTTTAGCCCCATCAGTTAATGGAAACTCCATAAGGGAAACCCTGATTCCACTTTATAATTCTTCTATTCTCCACAATGTTGCCTCTGTCAATTCTTCTGAATCATGGCCAACTTTACCTGGAGATCACAGATTATATTCACCTAAGTTCCACCCTGAAGCTGATATTAGGAAATTCTCAAAGGGAATAATGGATTCTAGGTGTAGGTGTAAGGGTGATAATAATGATGATACTGATGTGCCTATGAGTTTGAATTTGGTTGTGTGTAGAGCTCACCCATCTTTGCAGTTTGAGACTAAAGATGAAGATATCAATTGCAAGAAGAGGAAAACAGATGCTTCCTCAATTCCAATTTTCCCAAAGTCAAACTCTGTTGATAGACATCATATGCAACCCCAGATGTTTGAATTAAACTCTAGTTCCATTGAAGAGCTAGATCTGGAGTTAAGGCTTGGTAACAGGTCTTAAGGTATAGTAGCATATATAGAAAACCCCCACTGTTAATGAATATAAAGTTCTTCTCTTATGTTCATCCTTTGTTGTTTGTTTGTTTAATTTAGTTCTTTTAATACCTTACATGGTAGCTTTTCATTATGTTTGATTGGATTCTCCTGAGGGCCTCAGATATCTGCAGGGTGTGTCATGACTCATGATAACAATTCTGCAATTATAGACAAGCTTGTAAACTTCATCTTCCTTGATAAAGTGGCCAAACGGTGGATTATTTTGAATAACTACAGAATACATGACACTGTAATTGATGGTTTCATCGATTTTTACTAGGATCATATATAAGTTTAATATACCATAATCTGTTTGCTAGCTAGATCTTTATTGTGAATAGTACAACATATTTACATTTCAAAGTTAATTAGGGTTTCCCATATAGGTTTCTTATCTTTATGTTTATGCCATAAACTAAGTTTCAAGGAAGAGTTCAACATTTCCATTCTTCATTAAAAAAATAAAATAAAAGAATGCAAGAGTTTTTTATGCCTTCTAGTCTTGTTCATTATTCTGCATGTGGACAACAGTACTTGAAAACTGAATTTCAGATTCATATATCTCTGATATTCAAGCATAGATAGGTAGGTGCGTGGAATAACTGTTTCAGAATTTGAGAGAGAGAGAGAGAGAGAATGCACTGTGTGTGTGTGTAAAATTGTTTTTAAGTATTGAGATTAGGGCATTTCCATTGGGTTTAAGGGTCAAGGAAAACACTAAGAACTTGCATGGAATAATGTGAGCTCATTTTCCAATTCAGGACCTCACTGACATTCCATCAGACAGAACAACTAAACTAACCCATAAGACACACTCATTGAGCTTTTCATAGTCGCATAAAGTCAGATACATCCCAACATTGATTCCCTTTTCCTTTGTATTATTCTCATCACCCTCAGATCTGTTGCAGTTAATTAGTAGTATCCCTTTACACACAAATCCATTTGCTTGCGTTTCTCTCTCACCTTTTTTTCTTCTAAATCCCTCCAAAATTTGCCACCTACTCCGGAATCAACCCATATAAAAAATTCGCTATGATAATATGCTTTAACATTTTAATAATCACAAAGAGAATATTATTCCACCACGACTCATTCACAGGCGCTAACTACGCAATTTTTATTTTTTGTTTTGGTTTCTTCTTATGTACGTGAGAATTTGGTATGCATATATATACCAACACTTAATGACAAGTTCTGGCCAACGGGGTAGGTACAATTGGTTAAGGATTAGGCTTGTATCGTAACGGGTGCGAGTTCATATCCCATTGGCTAATATAAAGACATCGTTAGTGATGCGATTTGTAATTTCTCTCAAAAATACTGAAAGATATTGGGATCTGCTCGGATCCTGATTAGATACCGGTGTCTATCCCTCTCTAGACTTTTATGTACCAAAAAAATAAAATAAATAACAAGGCCTGAATTTATAAAGAATGAAAAGTGAATTCCAATTCCCCTATAAACTCTAACCCTAGGTAGCAAGTTTGTTGCACAAAACGCTGCCGAACATAAGGCGAGCATTCTGAGTATTTCTTTCTGATTGTTACCATTAATAGGAATTTGATGGAACACCCTTTTGACTTAAATGAGCTTTTGTACCTAGCAGGGTCATTCAAACGTTGCTTTCATATGTACATATTTATATTGAAGATTTTAAGCCATACCCAACATTTAAATTCCCTTGTAGGCTAAAGAATGAAGATTGATTTAATGATTTGAGGTGGGGGGGTTTTGGCATTTCCCTTTTTTTCGATTTGAGTGTTTGTTTTTCTCATCAATTTTGCATGTGATTGGGAAGAAAAGAGAAACGAAGGGTATATAATTAATATGTATAAGGGAAATGAGGTCCTATATAGTGTAAGAGGGTTTTAAAAGCAGTTGGTGGGCTTTGTCTTCTTTTGGGGTTGTGAGATGGGTAGGTCTGATTATAAACAGAGAGGAATCAGTGAAGTTTTGGGGTGCAGTGGCAGAGATGCACATGGCCAGAAAGTGTCGTTTCTCTGTTCAATTTGAAGGGGGTTTTGTAGAATAGGACTATAGAGTGAGTCAGTGAATGGAGAGGGATTGGATATTATTCTCTTGTTGAGCAATGTTTTTGTTAATTTAATAACAAATCATTTATGTTGGAGAATCAGAATTTTGAAAGAGAAATTCCAGTGCATTGGGGGTTGGTATTGTCTCGGATTTTGTTCTTTTATAATTGTTATGACAACTAAGGTCTAAGAGTATATTTGCATGGAGTTAAGTTCCTTTTGATCACGAGCTCACTTACATGGCATAAAATAGAATCTTTGTACTCTTTCACTCGTCTTGGTCTCTTTTTATATCCTTTTATTCTTGTGAATGTGATGAATAAGGGGGCTAATTATAAACTAATTTTGATTTTGATCATTTACATTATTATATTATTATATTGCCTCATAGTTTGTGTAATTTATTAGCTAATCGTAAATGATATTTTAATTAGTCGCTTAATTACTTTAATAATATTATTAAATTATGTCTAAACATATATGGAACCGTTGATCTAGTAATCATATTTTCAGGCCTGTATGATTATTCGATGTTGATCTTCAAATTTATAATTGTAATTTGGTTATTCAAGTTCCTAGGAATGCATCATGCATGTGCTTTTATGGAAATTCGAATCCTAATACCCCGCAGACCAATTATTTAATAAATATATGCATTCATTCAGGGTTAGTATGTATATCCAGACGTACATGACCTTTACAATAAAATATTGCGCTTTGTATTCAAATGTTTTAAACAAATTGCATAAAGTATTCCCTACGTTGTTAACTTGATGAATATCAAGGTCGTTTATTATTCTATAAAACTGATGTCAAAAGTTGTGATTTATTAATACAAGGATTGAAATGAATTAGTTATTTAATATTGGCCTTCTAGTTGATAAAAAATTAAATAATTATAATATTTTATTTGTAAATATTTATATGAGAAAAATTGAATTATAAAGAAATATTTTCGCATTTAACATAATATAGACAACTTAAAATAAATTGGATTTAATTTTAGTCTACTAGAAGAGTATGTTTTTTACATTACTATTTAATCATGTATGCTAATGAAAGTTGGTTCAACTAATAGAAACAAAGCGAAAAAAAAAGTAATTATGTACTATCACATTTTTAAAATAATTTGACATTGACAATAAATGCCTAATTTTTTTTAATGATCTATTAGTGCATAATTGATTAATATATAGTTTAAAAACTTTATACTAACAATATGTCAAAATCACACTCAAAGAAGTTATTGTTATATAATGATTTTTTCTTTTGGGTAAACATTTATATAATGATTTAAATAAAACAATAGTTGGTACTACTACATATTAAGCCACAACTCATATGTTACATACGCATGAGTTGTAAAATATTTAAGATTAAAGGGCAGTTGTTAAATATGTAAAAGTGGTTGGAATAATTTATTTATGCAAAATACAATAATATTAATAATTCATGATTCTCGTAAATTTCTAACAAAAAAATAATAATTGTCTGGTTGGTGATTTTCATCCAAGAAACACAAATGGAAAGAAAACAAAACTGGAAAAAGAAGTTATATCCAAATCGAAACCTAATTAAGTTACATTGATATGATGAGGAAAATATATAACTAGTATTTTCTCCATCTTTACTAGCATCATCTAATCAATCTCCAACCCTTCTTATATGTGACTCTACGATAATGTTTGATTTGTTTGGGTGTCATGAGTGACATCTGTTTATTTCAAGGGATCTAGTATGTCAATATAACAGTGATATAGTGATGTAGTATTATAGTTAAAGGTCTTAGGCGAATGCTGAGAATAAGTGGGAGGTGAAGGGCGGGGTGGTTGTCAAGATATAGTTGAATAGAGTAACAACAATGATAAGTAATATGTAAAAGGTACCTCTTCAATGGTGAAGAAGGGTATTTATATGGGAAGAAGATTCCCCAAAGTGAGATTGATGAGCCTTAACTATTTTGCCCTATTGGCCGTACTGTGAATGAGACACCCTTACATGTTACATGCGTGTAAGGTGTGTGTGCACGGGTGTGGAAAATCAGGTGTCATGAAAAATCGTTTGTCCCATTTAAGAATGAGGAGCTCAGCTCTTGCATTGGACCTGGTGGCTGGCCCAGAATGTTGGAGCCTAGTGGCCCATCTATAAGAAAAGTTATTCTCTCTATTTATTATTTAAATTTTTACTAACTATTTTTTATTGTTTTTTAAATCATTACTAGAAAACTTTTGTGCAATGAGCTACTATGCGTAAAAGATTCTTACAGAAGCCTTATTTTCACAAATTTTTTATCTTCCCCTTTTATTCATCAATATCAATTTACAAAGTTCATGTTCAAATCAATTTATTTATTTAGTTTTAAAATTTCTCCATCACTTCATTGATTTAAGACTAGAAGGGCATCAAAACTCTCCATAATAAGTTTTTTTTGGCACAACTGCATATTCCGGACTCGAACTTGAAATCACTGGTCAAATTAAAACAAATCTTATATTATTAGTTGATTCACGTGTTTGATGGTAATATATATATATAGGGGTAGGATTCTTTGACACCGGTGTCAAATTTGAAGCTTGACACCTCATCTGAGAGCCGTTAGATCAAAAAAGATTAATGGTGTCACATGCTTACAAATAAGAGACGTTGATCTTTTTTGATCTAACGGCTCTCAGATGAGGTGTCAAACTTCAAATTTGACACCGGTGTCAAAGGATCCTACCTCATATATATATATATATATATGTGTGTGTGTGTGTGTGTGTGTGTGTGAATTATCATTTCTCAAGTTGCTGGACATTCAGCTAGGAATCATAGCCATACATAAATGAGTAAAAACATTAAATGCTGGAAATAAATGAGAATCAACAATTAGGATTACTAGTTGGACATCCACTAATCTAAGAAATATTTTTGTCATATATATATATAT